AAAAAAAAAAAAAAAAAAAAAAAAAAAAAAAAAGAAATAGTAGTTTGAAAGAAAGAATTATCAGCTTCATTAAAGCAACCTCAAAAGGTCGTAAAGGATGAGTATCATGACTGAGAAGTCAGATTTCATTCCAGGAATTCCTTTACATCTCTTCATTATATGTTCTCCCTATCATTTGGATACCAAAATTAGACAATATGAACAAAAAGGTTGAAACTGATGCTATTTACTATTGCTGTTGCGAACGTCAAGGAAAATCCATCTAACGCAGAAAAGGTAGTAATTATTTCACTAATAACTGACTGCGAAGTAGAGTCTACCACTCAGGTATTTAGGATGCGGAGTGCAAGGTCAGGAGTGTGGTCGGCCGGGACAAGGAGAGATGGACGGACATACTGACGTACTCACGGATAGTTCGGAGTACCAGAGAAAATTAACACCATTGTAGTTGATGAAAAGCGGCCTCATAAGAGGGGAAGGGGCGCTGCTAAAGTAACAAAAAGAATGAACGAGCCGATGGGAGAACGAACTAAAGAAGAAGGCGAAGAAAAAAAAAAAGAAAACGGGCGGACATGAGGCATCACACATTGCTTCAACCTACAACTTCTTTCTAAACGAGGACGGACTGCATTATCGGGCTGCTCATGGAATGCTGCTGGTGCTTTCCGTGCTATTGCCGTTCACTGCTTTTGCTACTGCCACCGCTGCTGCAAGACGGCCAAAAATTTTAATTAAAACAATTCTACAAGATGATCGAGGAAACAACTCATCCTCAAAAGCACAAAAAAAAAGACAAAGAGGAAGGAAAGAAGAAACGTTCGAAAATCGGTGATTGTTTGGTTAGCTTGCATGGTTGTCACCTAAATGTCTTCTTCGCCATTCACTCACTGCACCGGTTTAAGCTTCCTCCGATACCAATAATTCTTCTGTCAGTCTCCTTTACTACTACTTCTGACCTCCCTCTCCACCCTCTGTTCTTCTGCCCCTTCCATCCCTACCTCTTTTCGTTGGATTAAACTACTTGGTTTTCGCTGAAGTTATCGCTAACAAAAATTTGAAACAAATAAGACTGATGATTTCCCTAAGAAAGAAAATAGTAACAGTAACAACAAAACCAGAAAAAGAACTCTGATGATTAATTGTCAGAGGATAGAATAAACAAAGGAGAAGAGATCAGGAAAGCAAAATAAAGAAAAGGATAAAGTTGAGGGTTGTTAAAATGTTGGAAAAATTGAAAAATTAAGTTTTTACACTTTTGCCACTCCCTTCCTTCCAGTTCGTCATCTTTTTTATACTTTCCAAAATAACTGAAGTTACCCTAATTGATTGAAACGAAAAAAGTAAAAAAAAAAAAAGCGGTTTTGGGGTTCGTCGTCTTCTTACCCCACTCATCCTTTTCCAGTGTTTTTTTATCTAGCACAGTTCATAGATATTTCCTTCAAAACCCATACCGTCTTTTTTTTATAAGAAAAAGACACAGGAAAAGAAGCAAAGAGGAGAAAGAGTAAATTTCATTCTTCTTATCTTTTCTCCCTCTCGGATAAGAAAAGAGAGATGGTCGCCGAATACACAGTCGCAAAAGAAATTTGAAGTCTCTAAAGTGTAAGTTTCTACCAATTAAGGAAAACCTATCTAAGCAGTCATCTTCTTAAAGCCGTATCGATGTAGTCTCGATATGATGCACAGGCACACATAAATACAGAAAGCACACATCTTTGATACATGTTCGTCTGACAACCAACTAATATATTGTTTAGTAATTTACGCTTTCTTCTTAACCATGCCATAAACAAAAGAAAAGAAATGAAATGGATGGAAAAACAATAACAAAACACAAAAACA